CCCAGCTGGTGTGGCTCAGTGGGTTGAGCATTGTCCCATGCACAAAGAGGTCACCAGTTTAATTCACAGTCAGGGCACATGTCTGGGTTGCAGGCTCAATCCCCAGTAGGCAGTATGTAGGAGGCAGCCAATCAATGTTTCCCTCTCACTGATGTTTCTATCTCTCTCCCCTTCTCCCTTCCTCTCTATCTAAAAATCAATAAAAACATATTTTAAAAGAATGAGGATATTAGTTTAAGGGACCTATGAGACAACATCAATCATAACAACATTTGCATCATAGGGTTACCAGAAGAAGAAGAGAGAGGGCAAGGGATTGAGAACCTATTTGAAGAAATAATGACTGAAAACTTCCCTAACCTGTTGAAGGAAAAGGACATACAAGCCCAGGAAGCAGAGTCCCAGTCAAGAGGAACCCAAAGAGGCCCACACCAGGACACATCATAATTAAAATGGCAGAAATTATAGACAAATAGAGAATCTTAAAAACAGCAAGAGAAAAGCAGTTACCTACAAGAGAGCTCCCATATGACTAGTAGCAGATTTTTCAACAGAAACTTTGTAGGCCAGAAAGGATTGGTACAAAATATTCAAAGTGATGAAAAAAAAGGACCCACCACCAAGATTACTCTACCCAGCAAAGCTGTTATTTAGAATTGAAGGACAGATAAGAGTTTCTTTCCCAGACAAGAAAAAGCTAAAGGAGTTTAAGACCACCAAACCAGCATTGCATAAAGTGTTAAATGTGTTTTCTTTCTTTCAGAAGAAAAAAATTTAAATAATGAAATGGAAATAAATACATATCTATCAACAATTACTTTAAATGCAAATGAATAAAATGCTTCAATCAAAAGATATAGGATGGCTAAATGGATAAGAAAATATGACCCTTACATAAGCTGTCTACAAGAAACTAACTTCAGATGGAAAGACGTACACAGGTTAAAAAAAGTAAAGGGATGAAAAAGATATTTCATGTAAATGAAAACAACAACAACAACAATAAAAGAAAACTGGGATAATAATCTTTTTACCAGACAAAATAGACTTTAAAACAAAAGCTATAACAAGAGACAAAGAAGAACCCAGCAATTCCACTTCTGGGTATTTTTCCAAAGAAACTGCAAACACTAAATCAAAAATGCATATACGCATCCCTATGTTCATTGTAGCATAATTTATAATAGCTAAAATATGGAAACAACTTAAGTGCCATCAATAGATGAATGAATAAAGAAAAAGTGGTGCATATATACAATGGAATATGATATAGCTATAAAAAAGAATGAAATCTTACCATCTCAACAACATAGATGAATCTAGAGGATGTGATGTGTAGTGAAATAAGTCAGAGAAGAAAAATACCATATAATTTCACTTATATGTGGGATCTAAAAAAAAACAAAACAAACAAACAAACCCATAAATACAGATGGGAGGGGGGATGGAGGAGAGGTAAAAAGTAGGAAGGATTAAGAAGTACAAATTGGTAGTTACAAAATAGTCACAGGTATGTAAAGTACTGCACAGGGAATATAGTCAGTAATATTGTAATAACTATACGTGGTACCAGGTGGGCACTGAGAATATCAGGGGGACCACTTTGTAAAGTATGTGATTGTCTAACCACCATGCTGTACATCTGAAACTAATATAATGTTGTATGTCAACTATAATTGAAAAATTAAAACATTATTTAAACAAAGAGCAATCTACTAATCTAACTTCTGAAATGTAAAATTTCCAGGAAAGTTTCCAAGGAGGGAACTTTTGCGTTCAGAATGAATCACCCCCCAGAGATACCTCTGTGCTGTGCAGATTGTTTTGACCTAAAGGCAACTTTAGCTGCAGGCTCAATAGAAACTTCTGTCCCCCCCCCCCCGCCCCCAGAACTTGAATTAGGAGTCTTGCCCATAATAAGTGATTATGAGAGATAAATAACCTCCTTTGACCTATCTATAGGGCAGGACAAACTTCTATTCACTGGATAGCTGCTCTTCTTGTCCTGTAATGACCCTTTGAGGCCTCCAGGGTGCATTACCTCATAGCTCAGACTGTCTTATACACCTCAATACCTCTTTCTATCTCTGAACCTCTCCTGCATGTGGGGTCTCTAACTCCCATGTATTCGAGGTTCACATACAGATGCATGAACTAAATTTGGTTATTTTTCTCTTGCTAGTCTCTCTCATGTCTGTTTTATTATTAGACCAGGCAGAAGAGTCTTGAGGAGAGAGAAAAGTGTATTCCTCTCCCAATCATATATCCTCACTGAAAAGTGGGTATAAGTATGATAATCCATTTATTCTTTTATTCACACAAACAATACTTAATTGTGTGGTACCATGGTGCACCAGGCACTGTGCTTAAGGTAGAATGCAAAGGCTTGAAAGGAGCATCCTATCCTTGTGAACATATAGCCAAGCAGAACGTAGACCTAGAATCACCTGAGCCAGGGGGAAATCCTGATGCGGTTCTCAGCCTTGCCTAGCGTTTCTGAGTGAAAGTCCTGAGGTATGGCTTAAGGGGGAACCAAGCGAGCAACACACATTGGCCAACACTGCTTTGAAGTCATTCTCAGAAAATTCCTTCACACCTGATTTGTTGCAGAACCTTTTCATCAGTGATTGTTTGATGTACTAAGGACACAGAGATGGAGTGGTCTCCAATCCTGAGACAGGGTGTCTCCATTCTCACACCTTATGGCAGCTCAAAATGAGTCAGAAGTTACACTGGAGGTCTGATGGGTGAGTTGGCTCCAAGTCTTATCTATTTGCAACTGATAACAAGAAAGAGAACCTTTGCTGAGTGGGAGTCGGCCTCCCCACCACTTGGCCTCCAGCTGCTTCCAAGCAACCCCTTCCAGCTGGGCCTTGTTAGCCAAGCAAACTTGGGCTCTTCTGCAGTGAAATGCAAAGTTCTTTTTATAAGACCTTTAAGTAAATGAGAGCAAGTGACAGAATGCTGAAAAAGAGGTTATAGCAACTTTATCACCCCTAGGCCATCAGCCCTTTCCTTCCTTAGAGCTGATTTTAGATCTTAAGCAAACAGCCAGAGGTGGGACATTCCATGGCTATTTCTAGCCTCTCAATCCTTTCTTTCTGGCAAGATATTTTCTTTCCTATTTGTATAGTTTCCATTTATAAAGTGCATTTTCAAAACCTTATTTGACAGAAGAAGTATCATGATGTCAGAGATTTGCTTTAAAAACTCCAAGGAAAAAATATGGGGAAAAATAAATGAGATGAGATTGGCAAAGGTTGATATTTAGTTGTTGAACCTAGGAGGGTTTATGAGATCCTTGTTCTAGATTTTGTGTAAATTTGAAGAGTCCACAATATGAATTTAATTAAAATTAACTGGAGGGAAGAGTTAGATTTTAGATACTACTTAAAAATTTAATATTATATAATTTAATATAATAATGTTATATATTAATATTAAATATTAGATTTGAATTTAGTACCATACTGTAAACCGAACAGTGTTTACACTTCTTATTTAAATAAATATAATCCTTTAGCTTATACCTGGTTTCATTTTACTGTATAAGCCATTTGGGTTTTATAGAAGTTTCTATTGATTTAAGATAATAAAATGTACTTACTTTTATGTATAACTAAATTATGGAATTAACAGGAAGTAACCATTCAGTTTAAAAGTGCGTTTATCACGGTTCTAGTTACAGCTGTTTCATGATGGTGCCAGGCGGCTTCCCCTGCGTGTCCTGCCCGCTGGGATCTGCTGGCCCCAGCTGGTGCCGCAGCTCACAGAACCAGGGGTTGGGAGGCCTCGCTGCAGCCAGCCTCACAGATTCCCTATTGGTTTATTTAACAACCTCTTTAGTAAACCTCACAGTTGAAAGTTTAAAATTTTAAATCAGTAACAAAGACATCTATGGAGGAAGCATGCTGTTTTTAGAAAAGTTTTTATATGAAAACCACAGAACAGTTTGCACCAAAGTTGCAAGGTGTCCTCCTTAGTGAGGATAATCGAGCTCTGCGGGTCACTCTTTTGGCAATTAGAAAAACTGAGACTCAGAAAGTCTCAGGAGAGGCTCCCAGACCACTGCCTTCCTGGATTCAGAGCAGTCTCATCATTAGGTGATGGTGGGTGGCAGTTACCCTGTGCTCCCAGGTCTTTGGATACCGAGCACCCTGGAGCCTTCTTCTCAAACTATCTGTGCATTTCAAGTTCTTCAAAGATCTAACTGCCACAAAGGTCTTAAGCTCTAAGCCTTGGCTGCTTCATCTCTATGTGAGGGATTAATCACAGTGTCTCCCCAGAGCAGTGCTATATGAAATGAGTAATGCATATGACATTTATCACTATGCTGGTCACCGAGAAAAGGCTCAGTCTGTGGAAATATTGACACATCCTTAGAAAGCAGGTATTGAAATCTCTCCTTTTATATTCATGCTCCCCACTCAAGACTTTTGGGACCCAACCCTGCTGGTTATGGGCCACATAGCAGCTTCCCTTTTCTAGCTAGATCCCCTCCCATCTCCCAGTATAAAGAGTTAGCAATATATAATCTCTATTTTCCTATGGAAACTTATTTGTTCATGTTGGGGTTTTAATTTTTTTTTCGGTGAGGGACAGACTTGTTGCCTGGCTCATCGATGTTTTACCTCAGGGGTGACCCTCTTGCTGCTGTCAGCACTGTAAAATGCCAGGAGAGCATCCGCCGTCTCCACCGCCCTTCCCCCAGCTGAGTCTCACTGAGGCTCTGCATGGGCCCTGCCGGTCACAACAGGCTGTTGCCTAAGAGCTTCCACATCGGAACTCAGAGATCTCATTGTCTCCTGTGGCCTAGACAGAGCGTAGGAAATACCTGGGTCTTCCGTACTTACCTATCTTCTATCCTGATGCAGTCACTCCAGGACCTCAAGTAAAGACACCTTCAAATACAAATACGTCAGACTCAACTTCCTTGGGAACTGATCTTCAATACATTGGTGAGAGAAGGAGACTCTAATACCAGGCCTGTTAGTGAGAACATGACCCGGAGCCACCCTATTAGGTAAGGAGTCAATAGGTAAAATCTTGGAGTCAAGAGAAGCTGTTAAAAACTTCTGAAATAAATTGCAACACATGCATGACTGTTCCTTCTCATTAAGACACTGTCTACGATCTTGGTCTCAAAATCTTTCTAAGTGATAACAACATTAATAAAAATCTCCAAGTTACAAAATAATTGCATAATATTTATTATTCATTAAATATTGTATATACCTTTATATTTATATATGATTGTATTACCTTTTAACATATGTGAATTTATGCTTATACTTTTTAATATTTTAAACTTCAATACGTTTTGTTAAATATTCTAGGCTTCTGTTTATGATCAGTTTGGCAGTACAGATCATCTATATGGGAAACAGTAAGAAGTGTTTTATTTACAATCTTTTAGTTTTTATTGTGTATTTGTTTCTCAATCATTGTCAGTCTCATATTTTCAATGTTTTTAAAAGGCTATCAACGAGAGAAACGTAAAGGTAGTAGAGAAGAAATCCACAACGCTACATTTCAGAAGCTCCAGCAGACACTCAACCGGACTCCGAGTAATTCCAGGGAAGCGCATGGGAGCGCGGAGGGCTGGAAGTCGCGGGACTGGCTTCCCCAGTCCCCGGCTTTGCAAGAGCGTAAGTCCTCAGGCCGCCCTAATGCCTTTGCAGTCATCTGTCACCGGACTCCAAATTTGGGGTCTGTAAAAATCTGGGATATACTAAGATAAAACGAGAAACCCAATAGAGAACATTTTATCATCTTCAAATGATATATTATAAATAAAAATATTTCCTAGTGAGATGTTCTTTTACTCTGCAAAAAAGTTGACTGTTTCATTGGTAAAACGTTGCACTTGATCTTAAATGGGTATTTTTCTCAGTTCCAGAGAGCTGACTGAAATGTACTTAAAACAAATATCCCAACCAAAGATAATAGCGGACTCTTGCTTGGTTTATTGCAGGCTGTCAGGGTCCAGATCCCACGTCCCCAGGGGGTCCCTCTGGTGGAAGGGGGGTTTGTGGAGGAGAGGGTAGCGTCACTGCACCCGTGGGTGGTCCTCGCCCGGGAGGCCTGTTCTCAATCACTGTCCTGGAAGTCACAGCCTGAATTTAACATGTGAAAGCAAGCAAGCCCTGCTTGCTGGGGGCAGGGTTTCAGGTCCTGTCCTCCCATCGTTCCTGACCAGCCTGCACCCCAGGTAGTTTGTATTTAATCCTTCAATTAACAAGCAGGGTTTAACTGAGCAAACACACTTATCAGGGAGCTAATTTTATTGCCTCCCGGGGCGACCTCGTCCTGCCCTCTTCCGGCGGGTCTAACGTGGAGGGCAGCGCGCTAACTCCCAGCTGACTGCCAGGCGACCCTCACAGGTGCACCCCCGCGGCCGCGTTGCTGTATGAACGGCGGCACCTGCGTGCTGGGCAGCTTCTGCGTGTGCTCCACCCACTTCACCGGCCGCTACTGCGAGCACGACCTGAGACACAGGTGGGTGCAGAGATGAGCGGGATGGCGGGACCAGAGCGCGGGGCGCGGGGCGCGGGGCGCGCACTGGCTGCACTAACCTCGGGTCTCGGCCCTGTAGCGAGTGCGGCGCCCTGGTGCATGGATCCTGGACCTTCCGCGGCTGCAGGCTCTGCAGGTGCGTCTTCGGGGCCCTGCACTGCCTCCCGCCCCAGACTCCCGGCCGCTGCGGTAAGGAGACCCGCGTCCTGTGCTCACAGTCTACACATACATGCAATTGCTCCTTTATACACATCAATCCATAGAGATCTCCCTGTGCCAGGCGACACAGAAATGAGCAAACTGGCTTGATTGATTCATCCATCAGTCAGGAAAGTCTCATGTATTGTGAATCACATAGTGTATTATCATTTTAAAATTTATAATATAGTATTATATACTATAGTGCATATCACATCCGCATGAGTTATTTTTATTACTGGAAGCTTATACCTTTTGACCACCTTTACCCATTTCACACCCCCTCCACCACCTTTGGTAACCACAAATCTGTTTTCTGTGTCTTTGAATTCATTTTTGTTGTTGTTGTTTGTTTAAGATTATACATACAAGTGACATCATATTACACCTGTCTTTGTCTGTCTGACTTATTTCCCTTAGCATAATGCCTTCAAGGTCCATCTATTTTGTTAAAAATAGCAAGATTTCCCTTTTTTTATGGCTGAATAATTTTACACACACACACACCACATTTTCTTTATCCATTTATTGATGCATACTTGGATGCTTACATATCTTGGCTATTTGTAACTAATGCTGCAATAGATATGGGGATGCATGTATTTTTTGGAATTAGTATTTTGGATTTCTTCAGAGAAATACTCAGAAGTGGAATTGCTGGTTTGTATGGAAGTTCTATTTTTAATTTTTTGCGAAACTGTTTTCTGTAGTGGCTGTATCAGTTTACATTCCCACCAGCAGTACACAAGCTTTCAGGGTGTGATTCTCCACCCCTTGGCCATTTCTGTACTCTACCTTTAAAAATAATTATGAATACAAAATAAAGAAGACATTTTTGATAATGTTATTTAAAATATTGAAAATTTGTCTATGTTCTAAATCCAACAACAGAGTAGTAGGTGTTTTAAACCCTTTAATGGAATATTATGATTTTGAAGAGTTTATGGAAATTAGAATGAAAAACTATGCTGACCATATAACTATAACAATGTGAAAATAATACATATGGATGGGGGAAATCACAAATGGATAACAACATGCTATGAAACCGTGGCCCTCTGGCTCCTCTTGGGACTGGAAGCCCAAAGAATCTCCAAGGGCCCAATTTGTTCTGATGCCCTGTGGATCCAAGAATGACAAGCTTTCTTAGTCTCAGATACAATGCCGTTTCAAGGGCATGCTTTTCCATGTTGATTTAGAAGAAGACTATTCCACAATTTTCTCATGTAAAGTGAGGATAACCTGTCCTCCACCCTCACACAGATGTTGAAAGATAAAATTTATGCAAAATAATCTTGTTTGTTGGTGTGAGCTATTTTGTAATTTTTCTGCTTCATGACCTATAAAATAATGCTTTGTGCATAATAATTCTAAATAAATATCAAATGGATGACCTTTGACTTCTTAGTTCCAAATACTGCTCCAAAGAATAAATACCATATAAGCCATTACCTATTATTATATTAAAATTCAAAGAGCACATTTTTGGTGTTCTAAAAACAATATGCTTTATTTTTTTTAATCCTCACTCGAGGATATTTTTTCCATTTTTTTGTACAGATAGAGTGGGAGGGAGAGAGAGGAAGGGAGAGAGAGAGAGAAACATCGACGTGAAGGGACACATTGAGTGACTGCCACCCGCACGACCAACCAGGGCCGGGGACAAACTGCAACCGAAGTACGTGCCCTTAGCGGGAACCGAACCCGGGTCTCTCCGGACCGCAGGCCGACGCTCTAACCGCTGAGCCAAACTGGCCAGGGCAAAAAACAATATGCTTTAGACAGTAACTATCATTCTATCATTTTCTTCATTTCCACTTGTTGATGTGCTTAAAAGAGGCAATGTGGCATAATAAAGTGTGAAAAATCCCTCTCAAAGTACTTGTTCAAATCCCCCAAAATACATTTTATAATGTTTATAATTTTTATTTTGTTATCTTTATTTATATATATATTTATTTTATTTATATATAAATATTTATATTTATTTATATATAATCTTTATTAAGACAACACAGATGCAAAATTGGAGCTATTTACCTATTGTTTGTTAGGATAAAAAGGCACTGTACCTGTTGCATTATTATGCACAAAATAAATTATTGTTACTTTATTAACATCACTAAAATATTCAAATTAATACAGTGAAGTTAGAATTACTTCATAATCTATCATTAACCGTAAATTTACTGAAATGTGTTTTTAAGTTGTGAACAACACCCACTAATACTTGGTGGGTGTTAAGTTAATTAGGGTTACACAAAAGGTAAGCTTTCAGCCAGCAGGGGCCTTCGCTTAGTCCTTAAACCAGCCCAAGATCTCATTATACTAAGAGGGTGGTTCTTCTTACACATTGCCCCAAAGAATTAAGTATTTCATTAGTATCAAGAACCAGTTTAATGTTCTAAAATTTAGAGTCCAAATAATGACACAGTGAAGTAGCAAACTCAATTGCCTTCAAAGATAGACAGGAAACGCAAATGTCAGATTTCGGTCAGGGCAGTCTCACCTTTCCCTTCAAACTCCATTTAAAAACCTACGTTTCTGGCACAAACCAATCAGCCAACCTACCAATAAGCAAATAAACATCTGTGGGCCAGAGCCAGCCTGTGGGGCTGCGCGGCTGTGACCTGTGGGGAGGAGGATGGCCTGCCCAGGCCCTGTGCCCAGCCTGCACCAAAACAATGGTGTTCTGCCCAGGAGAGAGCAGACCCTTTGTGAAGCCCTCCTGGGATGTTCTCTCGTTATAGCTGTTCTAGTGGGTGAGCTCTTGGGTGTCACAGCAGGAAAGGAAACCATTAGGCTCCCTGGGGCATCTGGGGGCATCTGAAAATAGAAGAGTTTCTGGAATTCTGGTTCTGGCCCTCACATTGAAACATGATGTTATTCTCCTCCAGAGTGACCACCACACTTTACAAAAATCTCCCACTCCACCAGTAAACATATTTGAGCCAGCTCCCCATTCAGTGGTGGTGACACAGGTGTCATGCTGAGCATACATAAACTTTATTTCACTTGTATCTTTTTATGTATTCACAGGCTAATTAATATACATGGTAAAAATCTGCTATGTCTGACTAAGTCTAAAAAAGGCCATTTGATAAGTATATAATAAAAATTATAGTTTACAGTAAATCATTCATTAGTAGCAGAGTTATTTTTGGTATGACAAAATGGTGTGCTTAGAACCATAGATTTCCTAAATTCCAGTGTACACAGGAAATATTAAGAATGCTTTTCCATAAATGTGTAGTGTAAGTTCTAATATTTTCTCTCTCAGCTCAAAGTGTGACCTTGGTTTTGCTGGGAGGGACACCACATGGTGCTCCCAGCCCCAGATTTGGGAACCCTACTTGAAGGCTGACTTGGTTGGTTTAGCCTAACTTACCAAGCTGACTAAAACATTGACCTTTGAGTTTATATACAAGAAAAGACAATGAGTGGGGTCTGAATCCTGCTTTGTGGGCAGCCTGTTTCCTTGTCTCTAGGGAAGATCAACTCTACAGTTCAGTACCTGCTGACCCTTTTTTCACCTGAACAGGTTCTTATTCTGTGAGCACCTGTCCTGTCTTCAGCTTTTTTGGAGCCTTCTTTGGACCCAGATGTTAGTGTTCCTGTTTTGTGGGGTCTAGGACCCTGGGACACCACTCTCCCAAGATGAGGTGGTGTGTGGAAGGTGCCAGGTTTGGAGTGGAGCTGACTCTGGTCCCATCCTGAGTCTGGTCTCCCAGACTGCCCACCGTGGTTCACTGGTGAGCAGGTGCAGAGCGGGACCCTTCTGCAGCGGCTGGTCTTTGTCAGTACGTGTTCATTCTGCTGTCTCATGCTACCACAGTCTCACATCCAGAGTGCGTCTCCTGGAGGTGCCAGAGAGTGTAGGGCTGGGCAGGCCGTCTGGGGGGAAGGCTGGCTGGCCCCTGCAGCTGCACCAGGGGGAAGTTCAATGAAGGGGCCCTTCCTCAGCTGTGTGCTTCCCTGCCCAGCCCACCCCACATCCAGCCCCAGATTTGCTTGTGCAATTAGTTTGGTGGAGTTGACATCCCTGCTCATGACCATACCTGTGGGGCTTGCCAGCTCACATGGTGGTCACTCGCCACCAGGGATGTTAGCCAAGACCTCTGCCGGCCTCAGAACCTCAGACAAGGGGAGATTGGCAGTTTTTCCTACTCAGCACCTCTGGGCTGGAGGCCCAGCTGTACAGAAAACTAGACTTATGGCCCTTAGAGGTCAGAGTGAGACCTGCCGGGGAGGAACCACATTGTCATGGCAGGCGAGGTGAGCACTGGGCATGGTGCTGTTCACTGTGACTTCCTTGCGGGAATGTTGCCATTGCTTTAGGGTGGGTGCTTTCCTTCTGTTTCATAACCTGTCCCTATTAAAAAAAATAGTGTTAGGACTAATATGGGGGGATGTTGGGCTTTCCTTGCCCCAGATAGATGCAAGCTGTTTTATTGCATTATCTTTTAAATCAGATATATTTGCCCACGATTGCTAACTGACCTGGTGTGGAACTTGGAAAGATCACCTTGGTTGGCTCGTGTGCTAAATGGGAGGGGCTGCAGGGCCACTTTTTTGTTGCCTTAATGACAATCAAGAAATTCTTCAACAAATACCAGGTTCCACAAAAATTCTATTGTTTCTGACCACAGCAAAAGAAACAGAAAAGCTAAAGGCAAGCACATGTTCCTCGAGCTGCGCCCCCAAGGCGGGCTCCGTCCGGGAGTGCGGTGCCCTCTGGCCGCGGGGGCAGGAGCCAGGTGAGCCGGCGCTGTGGGCTCTGGCTCACTCCTGTCCCGCCCTGACACAGGCAAGCCTGTGAGGCCAGCGCAGGAAAGGACCTTTATCAGGGCAGGTGCGAATGTCTGTTTTATTCCCTTTGCAGCGGTTCTCAACCTTCCTGATGCCGCGGCCCTTTAGTACAGTTCCTCATGTTGTGGTGACCCCAACCATAAAATTATTTTCGTTGCTACTTCATAACTATAATTCTGCTACTGTTATGAATTGCCATTGGAAATGTGTGTTTTCCAATGGTTTTAGGCGACCCCTGTGAAAGGGTCGTTTGACCCCCAAAGGGGTCGCGACCCACAGGTTAAGAACCGCTGCTCTAGAGCAAGTCTGCAGCAGAATGTCTTATACTTTCTGCGTTTTTTTTTTTTTTTTTCTTCTTCAGACCTGAAGGACCTTCTCACCTCACTCTCGACTAGACTAAGTGCACAGTGCCTGCTGATTTTTCTCAGCCTGCTGCCCTGCGTCCTCCTGCAATGCGTCGTCAGTGAAGGGGAGACTGCTGGCTGGCCTGCAAGGGCCTAACGCGCGGTCCGCACTGGCAGGGCCTCCGTGTCCCTGGAGCTGCTGAGCAAACGCGTCTTGTGCATCCTCTTTAGTTTTCTGTTGTAAGTAATATCTGTGTTTAATTTCCTATAAACTGAAGCATTACGTTAGTATTTTTATTAATAAACATTTTCATGAAAGAGCCTCTTTTGCTTCCCCAAGTCTGATTCAAGGCACGTGACTTGGCCTCACATGAGCAAACACTGGAGGCTGGGGCCTGGGCTGCCCTCCCCTCTGACTTCAGAGCAGACGGAGCAGGTCGCAGCTGTCCCCAGCACCCGCGGCCTCCATGCCCGGCTGCACGGAGACGCTGTGACCTAACCCACTGTGAGAGCTGGGAAATGCCTGTGCGCAGGCAGCCTGCCATAGACTGACCGACTTCGAACTCCTAACTCTGCTTTGATTAACCTGGAAACCCACTCAGAACACCCTCGATTGTATAAGGTTTGTGTAACCACATCTTGTAATTGTTAAGAGTTTAACAGAAGGGACTTAACCAGTTAAACCCCTTCCATCCTACACCATTCCTGACATTGATGACTGCCAGACCTGTCTTTTCAGGGACAAGCCCAGGATGATTTAAAGAACCAGGGTGTTGATCCTGCTGAAACCACCCAAGGCTGTTCGAAATGGCCCTGAGGACTTTATACTGACCTCTTTATAAACTATTCTCATTATGCCCTCATTATAATGCTAGAAGCTCTTCCCAGGGGGTAGAGACTTTTTGCCTTAAAAAAAAAAGTCTGGAGTCAGACTGACTTGAGTTTATTTTTATTTTTTTAATGCAAGGATATTTTTGTATTTAACATCAGATAGAGTGGGGGATGGGGGGGGAGACATCCATGTGAGAGAGACACATTAACTGGTTGCCTCCTGCATCACCCCAACCAGGGATGGTGATTGAACCACAACGAGGTACATGCCTTTGACCAGAATTGAACCCCCAACTCTTTGGTCCTGGGCCGATGCGCTAACCACTTACAAACCAGCCAGAGTGATTTTTCTGCCATTTTTGAACATGTGATATATGTATAGGCCTGTTTTTCAACTGCGCATGTGCAGGAATGTCCCCACCTGTACCTTTGATGAGGAAGCTCACCTCAGTGTTTATGCATGACTTTCCTGAATAAAAATGAATGCAATCCTTTGTTTGGGGACAGCTGCTTTGGGGGAAGTGACACCCCCTCTCCCCTCATGTCTGTTACCTGCTGGCTATAAACTACATTCCTTCTCATGAAATCTGAGTTGTCATTTGTCTGGTCACTGCTGAGTCTTGGAGCCGGTTCGGTCTGATAACAGAGCTGCAGTACCTCATGTCTGTGTTTGTTCACTGTCAGTCTCCTCACTATCCTCTACGTCCTTGGGGGACAGGGATGCACCACATGCGCGTCCCCAACACTGCTGTGCTCTGTGCCTGGCTAGAAGCAGCTGCCTACAAAATACTTCATAGATGAAGGAAGGCAAGAAGGGGAGGGAGCCAAGGCTGGAGGAGCCTGCCTCCTCTCGTTCCCTCCACTAATGGCTCCTTTGCAACACCTTTTCAGGCCAATTAGCATTTCTTGGGATGATCACCAACATCTCTTTAAAAGGGGAAGAGTCTACACAGCAGAGCCAGGGAGAATTCAACCAAAAGAGGTTATACAGCCTCTAACAGGAGTCAGTCATCTCTTGACCACCAGTCAGGTGAGCCACCAAATCTGAACTCCAACCTGAAACTAAGCATCTGTAAAGAACTCAGAAAAAATAAAAAGGAGAAACATGTGTAACAAAAATTAATTAATAAAAAAAATAAATTATATAAAAAAAACAACAACTCCGAAAATATAAAGGGGACTGAGTGGCTGGTCTCTCGCCAGTTGCACCAGACTTGGAAGTCGGGCATTTCTGAGCTGGGTCTGTCAGACACCTCAGCTCTGTGCTTACTATCACGGCCCTGTCTGGACAGCCAGCATGACTGCGAATCAGAGGACTGAAGACATGTTTATTACAAATTGGTAAACAAAAATAAAGTATGAGAGACAAGGACTCTGAAATACAGCTTGAATTAATACATTAATTGATCAAAATGTTGATACTTTATAAGCCTTACAGGATTTCATTTAAAATGCTCAAAGATAAATTCAATGGAAATGCCATTACAGGATTTATTGCCCACGTGATATGAAGCTCCCTATACTGGAGAGATTTGTGAGCAGAAAAGTATCTTTCAATCGACCCTGGAACCTCCCTGCCCCTGAGTTGTCTGAGTGCTCAGCTGAGGAACAGCTGTGCGGGAGGTGGTTTTGGCTCTGCCAGGGTGCTAGGGCTCTACACATGCAGGTGAACAGAGACTTCGCAAGGTGACACGGAGGTGGGAAGTCATGCTGACTTGAATGAGCTTCTTCTACCTTAGTGCTCGGCGCGCGCGCGCACACACACACACGGTTTAAGATATATTTTGAGGCCCACTATAAGCTGGGCTTGGTGAGCCCTTTGAGCAGGGAGGAGAGAGAAGTGAAACGGTGCAGACGTTGTCAGTAACTTGAAGTCCATGGGAACGGCCCGGCTGCTGGAGACTCCAGGTGAGATGAGAAAGGCCTGTGTGTAAAGCTGTACTGTCCAGAATGTCCACTTTGAGAGCGTACCCTTCAAATAGGCGATACTCCCCTTTAGTTTTTCAGCTTTTTAAATCCACTTGAGTTCATAAGTCTATGTAATACAATTATTAAAAAAAAATCTACATTGTAAAATAGTTTGACATTTTAAAACCTTCCAATCATTAGCTATGAAAATATGAATTCAGTGTAATTCAGTGTAAATATGTGTTTAAAAAAAAGTTAATGTATCAGTGAAAATTCGACTTGGAGAGTATTGTGCTGAGTGAAATAAGCCAATCAGAAAGACAAGTACCACATGATCTCACTTATTTATGGAACATAATGAACAAAATAAGCTGCAAATCAAAAGAGATCCAGAGTCATGCAAGCAGGGAACAGACTGACCTCAGAGGGTGGGAGAAGAGGAAAGAGATAAACCAAAAACATATGCATATATGCACAACAATGGACATGGACAGTAGCCTGGGGAAGGCTGAGGGGGGTGGGAGCAGGAAGGAGGGGGTCAATGGGGAAAAAGGGGGACATCTGTACTACTCTCAACAACAAAAAAGAAGGTAGACTTTAGTAAAGGGTTGACATGAAAAATAATTATTCAAATTTTGGGACAAACATTTCTAGGCAGTAATGA